AAGGAAGGAAGGAAGGAAGGAAGGAAGGAAGGAAGGAAGGAAGGAAGAAAGGAAGGAAGGAAGGAAGGAAGGAAGGAAGGAAGGAAAAAAGGAAGGAAGGAAGGAAGGGAGACAGGGAAATTAAAAAAAACAATGAACAGTACTAGTTGAAGGGGAAGACAGGAAGAGAGAATCTAGTTGATGTAAGAGGAACAAAAGGGGGAAGAATTACATAACCAGATAAAAGCACAGAATATTATTGTGCCATATGAAATAACGAAATAGACTATTTCAGAGGAAACTGGGAAGACTGATATGACTTGATTCTGAGTGAAGTGAACAGAACTAAGAGAACAATTTACACAATTACAAGATTATAGAGAAAAATAACCAAGAAAGATTCTAGAATTCTGATTAAAGCAAATAATAAACCAGGAGTCCAGAGAACTAGAGATGAAACACATCACTCATTTCCTGGCAGAGAGTTGATAAATGAAAATCCAGAATGAGACATACATATTTGGACCTGGCCAATGTGGGAATTTGTTTTTCTGGACTATGCATTTTTATTAGGGAGAGATAATAATTGCTTGTAAAAATAAATTTTAAAAAATAAACTGAGCACTCCGAATAAATCAATGCAAGTTTCTCAGATTTATACTCTGAACAAGAAAGACAGTGACTACATCTATGAAAAAGAGCTGTGTAGGATAAATTTACAAAATGACATTTTGATATGTTTCCTAATAAAAAAAAATACCTCCCCCAAAAGTGAAAGTGAAGAAAGTAAAAATCTGCTTATTAATCACTTGACTAGTCTACAGAAGTAATTCTCATTTCAATTTAAAGACACAGATCTTTCTAAATATGAATGCACAAGGAAACCATTTGCTATGAACAAATATGATATAACTTGTCTGATTTCATGCTAAACAAGAATAGTTAACTAACAGACATCTTGTGATAGTACACTGAAATAAATGTTTGAAAATCTGAAAATATTTTGGAGACAGGTGAATAAAGAAATTTCTAGTTTATTAAACAAAGCAATACAAATATGAGATAACATGGCAGAGTAATACAGACAGAGATGAATCATTGTGGCAGAGTGGAAAAAGCCGTTATCCTTTCCTGGGATGTTGAAACTTAAAATATCAAAACATGAAGCATTTTATACCTTCACCTCAGTTCCATACTGTCCAAAAATTTCCTCCACCTTCATGACGTCTGGCTATAGTATGCAAGGCCTGACTCAAACTGAATGATACTTCAGTTTGAGAGGGGAATGAAGTGAGACACTCATAGAAGATCTCACAGTGAAGCAAAGGCCACAGCAGGAAAAGCACATTCAGAACAAGGAAAAAAGATTCATTGAGGTTCCACCCTTGATTCAGATAAGCATATTTCTCTGCCTTTGTGTTGCTCACAGTGGTCTGCTGGTCAAGCCTGAGGGAACTGTTAGACTAGATGACCTCTGAGTTCCTTTTAGCTCTAAATCTACGATTCTATGACTCCATACTTAAGATCTTTCTGTCAGATGAAACTCATTTCTATAACCTGTTAATACAGCTCCTGAATGGTATAAGAAGGGTCCTCCAGGAGCTAACCTTGCTCCAGACCATATGCCTAATTGACCATGGCTTGGCGAATGACATTTGAGTCTATGGCTCCTTTTCCATTTGCAGATTTAATGGCATTTCTTCTGGGCATAGGACCAGCAGAGAAAGATTTTCAGCACTTGTTTCTTTTTAAATATTAATTTATTTTGATTTATCAATAATCACTTCCATATGCTTCTGAGTTTGAAATTTTTCTCCCCCTTCCTCCCCACCACCCTCCCCAAGATGGCGCACAATCTGATATATGCTATACATTTACATTCATATTAATCATATTTTCACATTAGTGATATTGTAAGTAAAAATTAAAACCAATAGGAGGACCCATCAGAAAGAGGAAACAAAACTCAATAGAAGAGAAAAAAAATAGCAATTCAACTTCCATAGTTCTTTCTTTGGATGTGGATAGCTTTTTCCATCACAAGGCCTCTGGAGATATCTTAGATCCTTGTATTACCGGGAAGGGTTAAGTTTATCAATATTAGTTATCACACAACATGGCTGTTATTGTGTACAACGTTCTCTTGGTTCTGCTCACTTCACTCAGCATCAGACCATACAAGTCTTTCCAGGTTTTTCTGAAGTCAGCCTGTTCATCATTTCTTATAGCACAATAGCATTCCATCACATTCATATACCACAGCTTGCTCAGCCATTCCCCAATTGATGGGCATCCTCTCAATTTCCAATTCTTTGCCACCACAAAAAGAGCTGCTATGAATATTTTTGTACATGTGGGTCCTTTTCCCATTCGTATGATCTCTTTGGGATATAGCCCTAGAAGTGCTATTGTTGGGTCAAAGGCTATGCACATTTTTATAGCCCTTTGGGCATAGTTTCAAATTGCTCTCCAAAATGGTTGGATCATTTCACAACTCCACCAACAATTCAGCACTTGTTTCTGATAGGGGATAAAGTAGGAAAGGGAAGACCATCTCAAGAATTAGGAAAATAAAAAATAGCTCCTACAGAAAATTTGAAGAACCCTATTCTTAGAGGCAATTTCCATATGCCATGGAACCCAGTACAGATAAATGCTACCCTATAACTATACCTTTTGCATCAAAATACTGGATGTACTGGACCATCAAATGGTTTTTTTTTTTCAGAATTTTTCATTTCAGATCCTACCAAATCCAAAAAGATGTTATATACACTCACTATATATAATTATTAGGGTAGGCAAGCCAAGTTGATACATTTTTAAACTGCAATAGTTAAATCAAAGAAGGGATTTTGAGATAATCCTCAATCAATTGGAAAATTCAATTATCCAGAACACAATTTATCAAATACTTCATCTAATCAAGCTTATGCTATCTTTACTCTATAGAACAGAAACCTGAACTGACCTAGGCTTGAGCCCGTGTTGCCTTAAAAACCAGACTGGTTGGGATTAGAGGACACCTGCATGCTCTATTCTCCTTCCTGCAGATTTGATTTTCGACCCTTATTTTGAATTAAAAGTAATGCCCTCTTAGACAACCACTGTTTTCTGCCCTTTTCATTTTTTGTTTTTAAAAATAAATTTTAGCAATTTTTTTTGAAATATTGCCTAAATTTTCCCTTGAATCCTTCCCCCTCCCCACTCCCAGAGAGCCATCCCAATATGATGAAGAATATTTTATTCTTTTATACATCTCTAAGCAGTCTTGGATAGCTGTGATTACCGAAAGATTTAAATATCTTTTCTTTAAAAGAAAAGTCATCCTACTAATGAAACATTGGCAAGAGTCATGGACACTTACATTAAGGAGGTTATCAAGCATGTTGTTCCCTATGGAAAAGACCTGTAGCTTTACTAATGAGTCCATAGCATCCATCTTGGCAATTCGATTGCTGAATAAGCTCAGATCTTCTAAGTTAACTAGAGTGTCTAAGCCCTCAATTGACTCAATGTTGTTGAAAGATAAATCTGAAAATAAAAAAATTAAGAAATTTGTTAAATTGATCTCAATTTTATTACTAAAGTAAAAATTATACTTCTCTCACTTTCTCCATGTTAAATAAAAATAGTGGTACCAGATATATAGTAGGTGCTGGGTATACAAAGACAAAAATGAAACAATTCCTGCCCTCAAGGAGTTTACATTCTATAGAAAGGAAGGAAACAGGCATTTATTTATTTTTAAATTAATTAATTTATTTTTAGTTTTCAACATTCACTTCCATAAGCTTTTGAGTTTTAAATTTTCTCCCTCATCTCCAAGACAGCATGCAATCTGACATAGGCTCTACATATACATTCTTATTACACATATTTTCACAGTAGTCATGTTGTAAAGAAGAATTATAATGAATAGGAGCAACCACAAGAAAGAAAAAACAAAACAAACAAAAAAAAAAGAGAGAACAAATAGTATGCTTCGATCTGCATTCAGACTCCATAGTTCTTTCTCTGGATATGGATAGCACTTTCCATCATGAGCCTTTTGGAGGTGTCTTAGATCCTTGCATTGCTGAGAAGAGCTAAATCTATCAAAGTTAGTCATCGCACAATGTGGCTGTTACTGTGTACAATGTTCTCCTGGTTCTGCTCATTTCATTCAGCGTCAGTTCATAGAAGTCTTCCCAGGTTTTTTTGAAGTCTGCTCATCATTTTCATAGCACAATAGTATTCCACCATATTCATATACCACAACTTGTTCAGCCATTCCCCAATTGATAGGCATCCCCTCAATTCCTAATTCTTGGCCACCACAAAAGAGCTGTTACAAATATTTTTGTATGTGTGGGTCCTTTTTCCATTTTTATGATCTCTTTGGGATACAGTCGTAGAAGTGCTATTGCTGGGTCAAATGGTATGCACATTTTTATAGCCCTTTGGACATAGTTCCAAATTGCTCTCCAAAATGATTGGATCAGTTCACAACTCCATTAACAACGCATTAGTGTTCCAATTTTCCCACATCTTCTCCAACATTTATAATTTTCCTGAAACATGCATTTATTAAGTGCTTACAATATATCAGGTATTTTATAATTATCATCTCATTTGATCTTTACAACAGCCCTGGGAAGTAGGCACTACCATTTCCCTTATTTTTACAGTTGAGGGTACTAAGGAAGAGAGAGGTCAGTAACTTGTCCGGGGTCATACAGTTAGTAAGTGACTGATATCAAATGTGATTAAAAGCCTTTCTGATTTGAGGGTCTGTGTTCTATCCATTGTGCCACCTATGCCTAAGAGATCAAGCACATAATGCTGTGCTTGATTATCTAAAACTATGCTTTATATTTTATGGATTGGGAATTTCATTTGTAGTCTAACAAATTCTAATCTATTTTTTTTTGGTGGGGGGGAAGCTAGGTGGTGCAGTGGATAGAGTGCCAGGTCAGGAATCAGGAAGATCTGAGTTCAAATTTAGCCTCAGACACTCAGTAGCTATACTCTCCCTTGTGAAGTAAGCTGTTAGACAGGAGCTCCTCAGCTCCCTGCAGGTTCTCACTGGATCCAATCAGACTACCGAAGGATACTGGAGACATAAGGGGTTATATTACTTTACTCTCAGCAGCAGCAGGCCAAGACAAAGAGTGAAGCATCCTCCCTTCACCAGTGCTCTTACTGACCAGTGCTCATTTGATTTATAGAGAAGCACACACAGAAGGCATCATGCCAACAACAAGCTCATAAGTTTACATTATCTGTGGTTATATAATGATATGTCAGCATTGCACAAGTGCAGTATAAGTGTTTACGGGCTAAGGACCCTGGTTGCTTGTATCAAATTGGATCCATGACACTGTACATACAAAAGCACTTCTTAAATTTCTAAATATTATAATAAACATGTTACTATTTTGCAAGTCATTTGCATAGATAAATAATTTGATAGAAATAATTGGGAATAAACTATGATACATCAAATGATATCGTTCAGTCATGTACTACTGTTCGTGAACCCATCCGGAGTTTTCTTGGCAAAGACACTGGAGTGGTTTGCTGTTTCTGTCTCCAGTTCATTTCACAGATTAGGAAACTGAGGGTTAAGTGACTTGTCCAGGGTCACACAGCTAGTAAGTGTCTGAGGTCACATTTGAACTCAGGTCTTCCTGACTTACAAGTCAGCACTCTATTTCACCACGCAGCTGCCCCAGTATATCAATATAATGCCACTAAAATAATAAATGAGCAAGCAATATGAAGAAATTTGGAAAGATTTATATGAAGTACTACAAGAAAGCAGAATCAGAGGATCTACACACTGATTATTACATAATCTCAGCTGGGTCCTCACTGCAGCAAGGCAATTCTTTTATACCTCCCTAACTGATTCACTATCCCACTCACTACAATGCCTTTTCCTAACCTTTTCATCCCTCCTCAAAATTCCCCATTGCTCTTCCCCTCCCTACCCTCTTGGCTGAGAACCTTGCCTCATATTTCACGGAAATAAAAAAAAGAGGCTGTTTACCAGAATTCGCTCTTTTCCTCTCTTCCTCATCACTCAGATGCCATCTACTGCTTTCTCCTACTTTATCCCTGTCTCACATGAAGAGACAACCCTTGCCAAGGCGATCCTCTCTACGTGTACAAATGATCCTACTCTATGTCATCTCCTTCAGCAGATTACACCCTCTATCATCCCTACTCTCTCACTAATCCTCACTCTTTCCCTATCTAATGGCTATTTCCCTACTGTCTACAGATATACCTCTCTCTTCCATTCTCAAACAAAACAAAAACCTTCACTTGATTCTACCATCCATGCTAGTTATCATTGTCTATCTCTCCTCCCTTTTCTGACTAAACTTGAGAAGGCTGTCTACAACAGGTGTCTCCACTTCCTTTCCTCTCACTCTTTTAACTCTTTGTAGTCTGGCTTCAGACCTCATCATTCCAAGTTATCAGTGATCTCTTGGTTGCCAAATCCAGTAGCCTTTTCTCACTCTTCATTCTTATGGATCTCTCTGCAGCCTTTGACACTGTTGATCACCCTCTTCTTATTCTCTCTTCTCTTTAGGTATTTGTGACAGTGCTGTCTCCTGGTTCTCTTCCTACTATGTCTGACAGCTACTCCTCTGTCTCTTTTGCTGGATCTTTACCCAAGTCATGCCCACCAAAAGGGTGTCCCCCAGGCCTCTATCCTGGGCTCTCTTCTCTTCTCTTCTCCCTCCATTCTATTTCACTTGGCAATTTTATCAACCTCCTTGTATTCAATGATCATTTCTATGCAGATGATTCTTATATCTACCCGCCCAGACCTAACCTCTTTTCTGACCCTGAGTCTCACATCTCCAGCTACCTATTGGACATCTCAAAATGGATGTGCTATAGACATCTTAAACTCAAAACATAATCAAAACAGAACTCAATATCTTCTCCATCCTTATACCCTGAGAACCACCACTCTCCCAATCACCCAGGCTCACAATCTAGGTGTCATCCTCAACTCCTCACTCTCCCTCACCATCACCCCCATATCCAATTAGTTGTCAAGTCCTGTAGTTTTTTATCTTCATACCATCTCTCATGTATCTCCCCTCATCTCTCCTCAGACACCGCCCCCACCCTGGTGCAGGCCCTCATCACCTCATAACTGATGGGCTCCCTTCATTAGAACCCTTCCCACTCTAATTCATGCTCTACTCAGCTGTCAAAATCATCTTCCTAAAGTACTTCCTTAATCACCCCTTTAATCAACTCTAGTGGCTCCCTATTGCCTACAAGATCAAATATAAAATCCTCTTTTTGAAAGTCCGTGACCACCTGGGCCTTTCCTACTCTCCAGTCTCCTTCACTTTACTCCCCTCCACACACTATGTGATCTAGTGACACTGGCCTCCTTATTGTTCTTTGAACTATTGTCACTGGCTGCCCCTATGCCTCAAATGCTCTCTCTCATCTCCACCTCCTGGCTTCCTTCAAGTCTCAGCTAAAGTCCCACCTGCAAGAAGACTTTCCCAGTCCTCTTTTCTCTTGGTGACTTTACAGGCATTATATGACATTATAGGATGTCAAATCCTATAATTTGTTTCTATCTCTCACATCTCTCACAAACACCTTCTCATCACTCACCCAACATTCCCCTAGCTTACTACCTCTTACCTAAACTATTGCAACTGCATTCTAATTGGACTCTTTGCCTCAAGTCTCTCCCCACTCCAACTGAACTTATACCTCCAGATTAAGGCAGCACCCATCCCCTTCTCCTAACCTGGAACACAAGTTGATACCTTGAAACAATGCTAGGAAAATCGAGGGAAAAAAATTAAACTAGGGATGTTTCTAGAGCCTAAGATTCTTTAGGCCGTGGCAGGAGGAGAGGTTCCAGGATGGTCCTTCCAGAAGCTGACCCCTTGATTTGGTTCACTGTTACCCTAAGTTCTTGTTACTCCTCTCAGGTTTGATGGACAGGACTCATAAGTCTGTCATCAATCCATGCATAAAGGCAATTCTAGAGGCACCTAGGTGGCACACTGGATACAGCACTGGCCCTGGAGTCAGGAGGACCTGAGTTCAAATCCAGCCTCAGACATTTGACACTTTCTAGCTGTGTGACCCTGGGCAAGTTACTTAAACCCAATTGCCTCACCAAATGGGGGCGAGGGGGAAGACTTTCATAAAAGCAATTCCAGGATGCTAATGAGAGGTAATGACTTTTTAGGGAGGGGCGGGATTTAAGACAGGTATGTCTAGTGGTTTCCTATCTCTGATGTCAAAGGCAGGGAGGCACCAGAGCTATGCCATTCTGGAATGGGAGACAGAGGTTGTAAAAACACATTTAATTGGATCCATTGTTTAAAGTTATGTGCATCACTAACACCCTGTTGGTGAAGCTATGAATTGGTCCAATTATGCTGGAAAGCAATTTGGAGTCATTCTATAAAAGTGACTAAAATGTCCATACCTTTTGACTCAGAGGTCCCACTCCAAGGCCATCTTCTCACCAGCTGCATTCTTGCCTGGACCAGACAGCACGTCTTTCGGTTATCCTGACTGGTGACAGTCTCACCTGGCCTCCTATTTCAGGAAGGCCCAAACCACGCTTCAATTTACTCCCTGCTCCCTAGCCATCTCCCCGATTGCTTTTCTACTTCATGATTACCCTTGCAATCTATCCCCTTCCCCACATCAGTTCTGGAACCAAGATCAAATCAACTCTGCCATTGCTTCAGTAAGGGATATATCAATTTATCACCATATGGCCTCTCTTACCAACCCTGCAAACTTCTAGAACAAAGTACTCCTCTGTCGCCACCACTTCCCAAAGTGTGTTATCTCCTCCCATTAAAATATAAGCTCCTTAGGGGCAGGGACTGTGTTAACTTTTGTACCGTGGCAGCTAGATGGTATAGTAGATAGGGCTTTGGCCTAGGAGTCAAAAAGACCAGAGTTCAAATCTCACCTCTTACTAGCTGTGTGACCTTGGGCAAGTCATTTAAACTCACTCAGCTTCAGTTTCCTTGTCTACAAATAGGAAAATTAAATGCTTTCAGCCTCAGTTTACTCATCTGTACAATGGGGTTGCCATTATCATGGCAACCATCTCACAGTGTTGATATGAGGGTAAAATGAGAAGACAAAATATTTAAAGCACTTTATAAACCTTGAAGTACTATAGAAATGATAGCTAGTAATAGTAGGCTCCTCAGCATTAGGCACATAATAAACACTTAATAAATGTTTTTCATTCAATCACATACCACCAAGGAGATAAAAAAATAGAAAGAAAGGTCCCATGTACACCAAAATATTCATAGCAACACTTTTGTGTTATGAGAGAATGGGAAACAAAGTAGGTATCCATCAACTGGGGAGTGGCTAAACAAATTCACGTACATAAATATAATGGGATATTACTATACCATAAGACATGACGAACATGAAGAGTTCAAAGATACACAGGAAAACTTACATGAACTGATGCACAGTAAAGTAAGCAAAACCAGGAAAACAATATGTGAAATGACAATGTAAAGAAAAACTGGAACTGAATCCTGTGCAATTTTAGTGACCGAGCTTTGCCTCAGAGAAGAGTAGAGAAAATCTACTTCTTTTTTTTCCCTGCAGAAGTGGGAGACCAGGGTTGTGGAATGCTGTATATACTGTCAGACTTGGTTAATGGTGTAGTTGGTTTTGCTGAATTTTTTTCCTCTTTCAGGTTAAAACTCTTGTAAGGGATGGCTATCTGAGTCGAGAAGGGAGGTGGATGTATTCAGAAGGAATGTGATAGAAACAGAAAGCATCCACAAAAAAGTAAATATAAATACATACACTTAAAAAACATTAATAGAGCCAGGCTTTAACACAGACTTTCTGCCTCCTCAGGATGCATTGTTTCCCCACTTCCACTTTTTGAAATCCTTAGATTCCTTACAGGCTCACTTTAGGTGCCCCCTCCTTTCCTGATACCATGTAGTTGCTCTCTTCTCCTTAAATGATTTCGTATTTACTTGTTTACATGAATGCCTCCAGGTGAATGTGAGCTCCAAAAGGAAAGGGACTGGGTTTTTGTCTTGGTGTGCCCTGGCAGATGCTTTCAGATAAGTCTTACACACAGTAGATAAGTGGTTCTCAAATGCCCCATGGGCTAGGTGTGCCCTCAGTCAGTCACATGCTTATGCCTCAATGTTCTAATCCAGATTATTCCTGGCCAAGAATAATACTATAGCTTGAGTAAAAAAAGTTTTGAGAACCACTGTAGTTAATGCTTAATAGATGTTTACTGAGTTGAACTGAAGTTTCTCAGAGTAAACAATCCTTCTTATACTCCTCTAAATGTGCTAAATGTGTGGATGTCTTGATATTTGCCTTATTTCAACACTGGGTACCACCACAACTGAAGGCACAGCACCCAGAAAAGAATATTTTTTTATTTAGTGCCCTCTTATCTTTCGCTTGGTAGCTTCCATAGTCCAGTTACAATGGACTGCTCTTTGGGGGTCAGGAACACAGCATTCAATTTTGACATTTCTAAGAATATGTCGGGGCAGGTAGGTGGCGCAGTGCATAGAGTGCTGGCCTTGGCTTCAGGAGGACCTGAGTTCAAATCCGGCCTCAGACACATAACACTTAATAACTGTATGACTCTGGGCAAGTCACTTAACCCCAACTGCTTCACCGGAAAAAAAAAAACTACCCCCCAAAAAAGAATATGTGTATTATGTTTTGAAAACACAGTATATTCATATACTTTAAAAATTAATGGCTTCCCTTCTACCAATAATAAAATGTATCATAAATACATGATGCTAGAGTGGTACTTGATTGATTAAAATGATTAACATCTACTAACATGAAAATGGTTCAGTGGTATCATATCTGATCATAAGAAACAACAAAGTCAACCTTACCAAGCCAGACCAGGTTAACTAGACTTTCTAATCCATCTATCTTCTCAATGATGTTATTATCTAGCTGTAATTTTGTCAGACTCACAAACTGCCATAGATTGTCAATCCTGAGGATGTCTAAAATCAGAGAAGATAGCACAATTGATATCAGTCCCATTCGATCAGCATATTTATATATTTATTAAATTCAAATGTTCAAAGCTAAACAACAATATGAATAACAACAATAAACAACACTCTAGGCTAACTGTATTTGTCCACTGAAATGTGAAGACCACTACAGAAACAAGGGAAAAGACCCTGTTCATTGGGTGCCTTCTGTTATGCAAACAGAAGACAAACCAGATATGACAACTTTGTTGTCTTTAGCAACGTACACTGTTAATTAATACTGCCCAGGAATCATTTGAAAGGCTTGTAGCTCGTATGTTTAGGGTTGCAAGGGACCTCTTAGGCCTCTTAGTGTAGCCCCCTAATTTTGTAGGTGAGGAAACTGATGCCCAGAGATGTTAAGTGATTAATTCAAAGTGACCTAGATGATAAGCACTAGAGGTTTGCCACCAGTTAGGGCTTTTTCTGTTGTTTTTTTCTCCATGTTACTGAATGATGAACTGCAAGATGGGGGATTTAATGAATTCACTCCACAAGGGTCTTGACCTTTATTTGGAGTATTAGTAGGAAATGGAGTAGTCTACAAGATGAAACCCTTACTTCTGAAGTTGGAACTAGTTCAAGTTTCATTACATTTAGTAATACATTCCTGTATCATAGGTAATATAGTGCCGTAGGCTTTCTAGCAGGCTAATGTAGCAGGAAAGATGACAAACAGAATTTCATTATTTTCTGTTGCCAGACTAATAAAAGTTACACATATTTGTTTCTGAAAACAATGACACAAACACAGCTGTGAGAGACTGATAGTGGTGGCCTTGAGCTCTAGGATTAACAATGAAATGGAAAGGAAATTCGTAGCATACAAAGATATTTGCCGTACTGAAGTGATCAAGATTGATTCTGTACCATTTTTTTATTGATCCTATTTACAGTTAATTGATTTTGTCCTGTAACTGCTTTAGTCATAGGTCTCTGTCTCAGAACTTACTTCAGAATGCAGCTGGCCTGTAATGAGTTAAATTTAGAAAGCCAGTTCTCTTGCTAATCACTGTCCTATTCTTGCCTCAAGGAATTTAGCCAACCTTGGGGGGGCGGGGGGTGTGGTTTGCCATAGGGAAGTCAGGCCTAGTATCATTACACCACCAAGCTATCCTTCAAGGGATATCTGGTTTGCTGTCCAGGAAGTCTGGGCCACTACCTTGCAAGTTCACTCAAACACTGAACACTTCTTAGCCACAAGGGGGAAGGAGGGAGTTGTTGTGAACCCCCTCATTACCAGACTTCCAACCAATCATATCGTTCCCCATGCCTCAGCTATGTAACCAATCATGTTGTCCTCAACCCCATGAGGTCACCTATCTTGTTCTGTTTTTTATTCTATACTCCTCCCAAACCTATAAAATTCTCTATAAAAGAGAATTGTCCTCCTCATTTAGGGTCTTAGCTTACTGAGGAAGCTGAGATCTTATTTATTGGTAAATTCATGCTTTTTTTATAAATTGGTCATGCTTGGAATGTTATGTCTCAGTTTACCTTATTTTAGGTGTTACAATACTGGGTCAGAATTGTACCTCCCACATAGTAGGTACACAACAAACATTTGCTGAACTTAAATGCACTGACCCATAGTTTACCCTTCATAGTGTTCTGTTATTTACAAAGGCCCTAAGTGGCCAAGCCTTTGGAAGACACACCTAAATTCGGTAATATCAAACTGAAGCCTTGGAAAACTCTGTTCCTTCATTGTACACAGTAACAGCCATGTAGTATGATGACTAACTTTGATAGACTTAGCTCTTCTCAGCAATGCAAGGATCTAAGACATCTCCAAAAGCCTCATGATGGAAAATGTTATCCATATCTAGACAAAGAGCTATGGAATTTGAATGTAGATCGAAGCATACTATTTGCTCTTTCTTTTTCCTTCTGTTTTGTTTTGTTTCTTCTTTCTTGTGGTTCCTCCTATTGGTTTTAATTCTTCTTACAACATGACTAATGTGAAAATATGTTTAACAGGAATGTATATGTAGAGCCTATATCAGATTACATGCTGTCTTGGGGAAGGAAGTAGGGAGGGAGGGGGAGAAAAATTAAAACTCAAAAGCTTATGGAAGTAATGGTTGAAAACTAAAAATAAATTAATTAAAAAAAAAAGAAAACTCTGTTCCTTGGATTTTCTTAATTCTCAATTGAGGTGCAAAGAGCAATCTTATTGTTTCTAGACATCTCTTAGTAATTATTTGTCACTTTGTCATTCATACAGTCTTTTAAAATCAGTTGCTATTAATGTTTCAACAAGTTCATCAAATGTGTATGTACGTAACCCCTGCCCAAAGCCCTGCTCTCTGAGGAAAGCAGAGTGGTGGCCTCTGGCCCCAACTTTCTCCTTCCCCATCCGGGCAGGAATGAAAATCTTCCCTAGAGAAGGATGGGAGGAGAAGAGGTTAGAGTTGTCTATTTTGCCTCCCTTTGACCTACATTCTACAAAAGACCTCTCCTTATACTTAGTTTCCTACCTTACTTGTAAATTAGGAAATACTTATATGTGGAGCCAGTCACTCTATTCTCATTCATCACCAAGAATTCCATTGATACTCAAACAAAAGTTTCACTGGACCTTTTTGCAAATGCTTATCTATTTTTTTAAACATGACCATTATTCTAATATCTTTGTACCCAGGGAGATTCTGATCGTGGCCTAAGTCTACCAGCCATTATTATAAATGAAACACCAAAGTTTGATGTAGCTAACTGGAAATTATTCTACATCTACATTTCATTTGGAGTTCAGGTTCCTTACATAAAGCCTAAACTATAGTGATGTTAAAAAAATTAATAAAATCTAAACAGAACAAAACAAGACCAAATACACACACACAAAATACTCACTTTGAAAATCTAGCTGCAGACTTCTGACATCTTTGAAATTAATGCCCTCCTGTTTGGCTACTTGTCCTGCTGCTTCTTGAGGCCCCTGTTCTTCCACAGCCAATTTAAGCAACTCTTCATCAATCACATTTGGCTCTATAGTATCATATAACCGAATCATCTTCCAATCTTAGTTACCCTAAAGAACAGAACAATAATTATTTTATGCAACCTAGTTTTATCACTCTTTTTTTTTTTTCGGGGGTGAGGGGATAGGAAGAACTACTCATAAAATGTTATGTAACACGCTAGAGCTTTACCTGTGACCTGTTATGGACTTGATTGTAGATAGAGCAGACAACTGATGCTCAGATCTCCTATTTGGGAGATGGGGAAAGTAACATAGTATAGTTAGTCATCTAATTAGCCTACTTACACAGTATTATTCTGTGGAAAAATGAATTCTAAAATTTCTTGAGAAACTACAATTTGAGGCAAGTTGCTGCCCCTCTCTGCAAAAAGAGACGATTTCAAAAATCTTTCCAGCTTTTATCCATAATTTGGATATGAAAATTATAATACTTAATTAAATTAGATGGGCTTATAATGTAGTAAGAGCCAAGAGAAGTCTATGTGACATACCTATGGAGTGTTAAAAGACCTAGAAGAAAAACCTCAGCACTTTGGGTAGATACCCTGAGGAGGGAAGATATGGAAGAAAACTGCACAAGAGGAGTAGTGGATCAATACCTGATATAAGGAATACCAAATCAATGAAATCACAAATCCATAATAATGACGGTTAATTTCCTGACACTGGAAAAAAATACCAACAAAGATCAGAGGATCTTTTTCTCTGGGGAACATCTCCATAAGTCAGACCAGCGCTAAAGCCCTCACAGGGTGAATGATGGTAAAGCATATTCAGAAATGTGGTTTCCCTCCTCCCCCACTTTTTTTTGCCAGGAAAATATAGAGGAAACATCTCCTGGGATATGGATACCTACAAACTTGATGAATGCTCTCTAGGTAAGCAGTCCAAGATCTCGTAGAAGTTCTCTCTCCTCCCTACTATCTCTTTAGTCAGAGTTCAACAAAAAAAGCCCATTTTTTTCATAGTTTTCCATTCCCTCACCTTCCCTACCACTGTAGTTTGTTACTTCTGTTCTCCATTTACAAATGAGTTTATTCTGCTGGTTAGCAGGTTTTTCTGCTTACTTTGTATCAGAATGTCCCTGGGAGGATGACCCCAAGGGATTTCTAAAATTTTGGAAAGCATTTAAGTGGGAATCTTCTAGTTCTGGCTTGGTGGCCAGGTGACTGCCAATTTTATTGCATAAATCTTTATAACTTGTGAATCTCCCCAAGAGTAGAGGGAAGCCTCCATGTGGATCTGGAGCAAGTTATTTCCCTTAATACTAAAAGAAACTCAACCATCATTCAACTGCTGATGGAGCTCACTATGGGCAAAGGCCCTGGCCTAAAACCTCTTGAGCTTCCAGGAATACTGGAGTTGGTCCAGTGGGCAAGGTCTGAGAGCCTGCTCCAGAGTTGCACCTAGAATGCTCACCCAACAATACTCATGATTCCCTCCCACTGCGAGAGTAGGAAATGGGAGGAGCTCTCTCTCTCTCTCTGCCCTCTGCGACTCAGTACTCTGCAAGTTAAGCTTTCCCCTGTATCTTTCCTGGCACCAGACCACCCCACCAGGTAACTGTAGGCATGCCCTGCCCGCCTTTCTAGGGCCCCTTCATTTGTCGTTCTCCCCACCTCCCCCCCACTAGAAAGCAAGTACCTTGAAGGCAAAGGCTGCTTTGTTTGTACTTGTATCCCAGTGTTTAACACAACAACACATGGTAAATGCTTAATTTTTTTTTTTTTTATTCATCCATCCATCAAGCCATTCAGACAAGTGGAAAATTCACTCTAGGATTAATTTTTAAAATTTGAAATCATTCTAATTAGTTTTTCCTTTGCTTCTTTTACACAGTATGACTTGAACAATATTGATCGAGAATTTATTATTACAAAAGTTTTCATGTTATTCTAATGATTTTTTCCTCTTCTCAGGATTTTCATTTTAATATTTCATTGATTCATTTTTTTCTTTTTTACCTTGAGTTGACTTCAGACAAACACCGGCTAATTTTCAGAAGAATTATAGCATTTTGGATTTTCTTTTAATTTTAATTTCAGATTTTACTGATTCCCTCTTCCATTTTCAATTTTAATAAGCAGTGAATAATATTTTACCTTCCTCTTTCCCACTGAAGCCACCATTGGAATATTTCTGTCTATTTTTTTTGTGGTCTCTCTTCTGTTTTGCATTTCTTCCAAAAAATTTTTTTAGAATTAAATTGCTTTCAAATTTTATCTCAGTTAACTCTGTTGAACTGAAACTGATGTGCTACTTGATCACTTATGAATATTAATGCTTGCCATTTGACAGGGCTAATGAGAATACCAGTTGTTCTTATGATTGCCATATTTTAGTTGTTTACATACATGTTCGCCTTGTTGATAATTCACTGATAATTACTGTTGCTAGCTGTCATTGCTTCTAATTGGCATTGCTGTCGTTTACTAATTTGTTTGGCCAGTTGTTTTATTGCTTTTTGATGAAAACAGGTGGGTGGTATTTAGAAATTATTGTTACATTTGAGGTGTGGACATTGTCACATTTGGGGTGTGGATTAATTCTTGAAGCACACCAAACATATAAGAATGAGGACAGTTTAAAAGCTCTGAAGGACAAAGTAAAGAAGTTGGGAGCCTACAAGATGGCTGTTATTCAAGGAGGGAGCACAACCCAAGAAGGAGACAGTTGGTTTACTACCAGAATACACTGAGCATTTAAGAATACCAGACAAAATCAGGAAAAGGAACAGTACCTGGGTATTGTTTCACATCCCTCCACCAGCAAGTAATTAATCTGTGCCACTGTTCCTAAGAAATTTATGATATTAATGAATAAAAATTGTAATAGCACAACATGGGAGGTCCACGCTAGTCATCTCCACAGAGTGAGGATTTTTGCCAGCAATAACAAGATATTCATACATAAGTGATGTTGGCTCAATACATCCACAGTCAGAGTTGTTACTTCTACTCATGCCTAGACAGCTCTGAAGGAATCGCTTCCCTAAATCAGATAGCATTGTAATGGCCAGGAGATGGCCCAAAGCTAAAAACACTAAGTTACTGGGAAACAGAGGACTAGCAGTACTTCATAGATAGGATTGAAAGAGTAGGGCCAGTTCCCTGAGTCATATTAAGAAACCTCACTTGAATCTGAGAAGCAAAGTCCACTAAATTGTATGAAAAATCGCACGTGATAAGAGAGGAAGATCGATTGGATCAGGTAGAACAACCTCGGCTGATGGCAGGCACAGGGCTGGATATGTTATGGCAGAAAACACCCCAGGCCAAAATTAAGCATTTTCTCAAGGACAGGACCCATGCCCTCCCGGGGAATAACCAGGAAAACGTGGATTACACAGGTGTCAGTAGCATTACAGAATTGGAGGATTTCTGATAGGACAGGCTAATATTTTAGTGGAAAAGCTTTTGAGGGACCTGCTGTCTGATAACCTAAATGTTAGCATCTCAAACTTACGTATAAAAATATTTTGGGGGTAAGCACCAAAGCAGTCATATTCTATATTTATGACATCTACATTTCAGTATTGAGGATTACAGTCATCTGACTTGGTATTCAGAAATTGGTAGATAAAGGGTCAGTTAAGCCCAGTATGAAATTGAAAATTGATTTTTTAATCCTATTTTGTTAAGACTTAAGTTTGCATAGATTTAATATTCTCCTTTCCTGTATGTGCCTAAATTCCTCCTTCTTGCAAGTTCGCTCAGGTAATCTCAAATCACTTGGGGTAACTTCACCCTTACATTTTGACCTCACCCTTGTAATCACACCCATCACCCATTTTCCAGAGAAACTTGATTAATCTAAAAGTCAATCTCATCAGTGTAAACTATCTATACTAAAGGTAATCTCATCCCAGTCGTAGTAGTTTGGAAGGCTAGGTGACCCAGTGGATAGAGTGCTAGGCCTGGAGTCAGGAAGACCTGAGTTCAAATTTAGCCTCAAACACTTATTAGCTAAGTTACCCTAGGCAGGTCACTTAACCCTGTTTAACCACCTAACCCTGAAAAAACCTCAGTTTTCTCATCTGTAAAATGAGCTGGAGAAGGAAATGGCAAACCACTCCTTTTGCCAAGAAAACCCCAAATGGGATTATGAAGAATTGGACATGACTGAAAAATGAGTGAACTTTTAATGAAATAGAAGACTTTCAAGCATTTCTGATGAAAACCTTAATTTCCCACCATCTATATATTCTTTGGATTTAGACTCCATCATCATAATGCTCCCAGAAAACATCTTCACCAGTTAATTCATTATCCTAAAAGACTGCATCAGGTTTGAACATTCAGTACCCTCTGCCCTTCTGATGGGAGGGCTGGAGGGCAAAGCAAAGAACCTTTCCATTTAAAGAGGGTTCATGGACCAGCCAACTCATTTCCCACCAGCTGCACTTTCTAGACTGGACTCCACCAGGGCCCCAAGCTAGGTACCTTCTTCCCCAGCCCTTCCCCACTTTTCAGTTTTCTTTTGTGTGCTGTCTTCCCCCGTTAAACTGTAAGCTCCTTGACAGCAGGAGTTGCTTTTTCCTAATCTGTATCCCCAGAAATTAGCACAGTATCTGGCACATAGTAGGTGCTTAATAAATGTTTATTAACTGACTGACTCCTGATGAAAAGCCTAATTAGCCATTTTGAAATTCAAACCCAGGAGTCAAGTGAAACATAGAAAGGAAAATACATTTGATCATTGGGAAAGGACTATGTTATTATGAATTGTTCACTTGCTACTAGGGAGAGAGCCTAAATGATTTTATTTTAAAAGGAGAAGGAAAGGGGACTACTAGGGAGGAAAGGGAGAGGAAAGCAAGAAACTGCACCATATCACATTTCACACATAGGGGTAAGTTAAATGAACAGTATACACATGAAAGTAGAGGTGGAGGAATGACCATCATATTAACTGAACTTTCAACTTAAATGGACAAAAGAAGGTCACACACACAGACACACACACACACACACACACACAAAGAGCATGAGACAGAAGAACATTAAACTCAAAGGGAAATAATTGGGGACAGAGAGAGAGGGGAATGGAGTTTAAGAGGGATCGTGAGATATGTGAGGGAGTAGTCAAACGCAAAACAAATTCCAGTATTGGAGTGGGGAGCATAAAAGTAGGATTGAAAGGAAAGAAAGAGTACAAACTTGTGACCGGAGGTGAAGGAGGAAGAAAGGAGGGGCAACAGGGATCATTTCAATTATAGATCAGAAG